ATGCAATTATTCGTAAAAATTGTATTAAAACTTGACGAAAGAATTCAATTTTAAGAAACATTTACTTATTCAATTAAAAAATAAAATTCGTTGGAATAAATTCAAATATTTTCATAAATAACTTTTAATTCGTTATAGAAAATCAATTATTTTCAACAATTTTTATGAAATTCTGCAAAAGAATTCAATTATCTTGATAAACAACAAAATTCTTCCCATAAAAATCAATTATTTTAAAGAATTTTAATAAAATTCTTTTCCACAATATTTAATTATTTTGATAAATATCGAAATTCGTCACAAGAATTTAATTTTTTTTTGAAAAGTAATAAAATACTTTGCAGAAATTAAATTTTTTTAAAATTCTTGTGAAAAATTAAATTATTTTTATAAATAGATGGCAAAGTTCTTCTCAAGAATTAAATATATTGTTAAAAATTTTAATAAAATTCTTAGCAAAATTCCAATTATTTAAATTTTAAACAAAATTTAAAAAAATTCTTCACATGAATTCAATTATTTTCATAAATTATTATTTAAATTCTTCTCAGGAATTTATTTATTTATTTAAGTAGTAAACGGGACTATTTTTAAACGGAATTCAATTAGTTTAAAAAATTTTAATACAATTCTACAAAAAGTTTTTAATTATTTTCAAAAATTGTTATAAAATTCTTTAATATAATAAATTTCAGTAAAATCTTAATTAAATTCCTTAAAAGAAATTAAAAATTTTCAAATTTGTTAATAATATTCTTTGTAAAAATTAAATTTTAAGAAACATTCAATTATTGAATAAATATTATTATTTTATTTTTGGAAACAAATGGATTTGAGAATTTTCAAAGAACTTTTTCGAAAATTATTGAAAGTAATTGATCTAAAGAAGAATTTTAATATAAAATAATGATTTTATCATCAGTCAGTCATCTTTAATTGTTGAATTCCAAAAAGGTTTGAATTTGAAATTTTGAAAATATTAATTCCTATGGAAAAATAATAATGACTAAATATTTATTTAAAAATGAAGTTATTGATGTTTTTGAATAATTTTACAATTAAAGAAATTCTTAAATAAATGTATTAGAACATTTTTTTCAGTATCTAATAATTTTTATAGTTATGTTTATGATCTTTCACTATAAAAAGCGTCACTATTTAGTGTAGTACATAAAAGAAAGTAAAAACATATTCTTAAATTTCTATGAAATATACATTTTTTGCAGTTTGTTATTTATTTATTTTTATAAAAGAAAATAATTATGTATTTTTTATTTAAATTTACAGATAATTTTGAGAATGGAAAATGGATGTGAGAGAAAGAGAGAAAGAAAACCACTTTTCCGATTACCTTTTTTCCAAATATTCCCTCTCACAAACAGTGATGATTTATTTAATCAATGAATGTTTACTTCTGTGAGGAACAAGGGTGAGAAAGATTAGTGCAAACTTTCAAAATTATTATCTTTTTTGCTCAAAATAAGTTTTTTTATTTTTATATAATACCCAAAATAATTGTATTTAAATTTAAATTGCAGAGTGAGAATGAAAATAGAAGTAAGAGAGAAAGAGAGAGAGACTCCAACCACTATCCTCTTCTTTTCAAAATTTCATATCCTCTTCCGCCCTGAAGTCAGTCAATGGTGTCATATGACAATATGTGCGATTACTTCGGTTACTTCCGTGGTGAGAAACGTCAAAAACCGAATTGTCTTCGTGCTCGTCTCGCTCGTCTCGCTCTTTGTTGTCCGATCACGTGTTTCTAAATAAAAATCGGAATTTCATTGTAAGTATGACAATAATTCGGGAGTGTGTATCGTGTTGCTCGATCGTTTTTGTAAAGAAGCCAGAAAGTGAAAAAAGGTAAAACGTAAGACGTAACTCTCAGAAGCAGACAAATTAAAGGTTATGTTTGTGGCGTATTTATTTTGAATAAACGTTCAATTTTCAGTATATAAAATCGAAATCAGTTTTTATTGAATACTTCGAGTGTAATAAGAACTTAAACTCTGTTCTAATTGTTGCTCTTCTCTCTGTGTTTTCACTCCATTTTCACTCCAAAACTTACAAACATAACCTAAAATTTTCTGCTGCTGCGCGAAACTTTATCGGCTTTATCGAAATGCGTCGTCACATTTGATTTTTCACGCACGTGAGCAACAAAATTCGGCAGTGTTCGTCGACCACGTGTTTCTAAAATCGTCCTCAAACGAAAATTTTTATTTTTACAATTGCGTGTCAGCTCTTCGGGAGTGTACGAATTTTTTTTTTATCGCGATAATTACAAATATTGGAGTTTAAATTTTTTTAATTTGGTTTTTTTCTTGTAAATTTATAAGTAATTTTTAAATATCGGGAGTGTTCGTACAACTTATAATCGCGATCGTATTGTAATGAGAAAAAATTGCCCCTTTTCCAGTTTGTGAACACGTGGTTCGGGAGTGTTCGAAATTTCTTTTTAAAAAAACGCGAGTGTATTTTTTTTTACCCTAAACACGTCATCGAGGGAAAAAACTCCAGGATATGGAGATCATGTGCTGAGACGGATTTCTGTAAGTTTACTGAACATTATTAAATTATAAAATTTATATATTGTTATTTATTATTTATTTAACATTTACAGTTTGATATTTTTAAATTCATTTAATTTTCATTCAAATTATCCAAAGAATTTTCTTATTGCTTTAAATTTTGATTGCTACTCTTTATTATTTGTTTAAATTACATATTTTTCTATATTCTATTTCATTTGAATTTATATTTCTATTATTTTAATTATTTTACGTCTATTGTCTCTTTAATTATTTTGTTACTTATTTATTTTTCAATTCAATTGTTAATTTTCCTATAGAATTTTGTCGATATTTTTGGTATTACTTTTAATTATGGGGTCATTCACATATTACGTGATTAATTTAGTATTGTAGTTTTTGAAAATATTTAAACAAAAAAACTTTCTTTGTTCATTTGGACGTTCAAAATTTTAATGATATAATTATTTCCATTATATTATTATTATATTTCATTGTAACATTTTATTATCAATTTTGATTCAAATTTATTTTCTTTTTGTTTTGACGTAATTAGTTTTAACACAGTCAAATATGTTTTTCGTTTTAAACAATTCTTTGTTTCAAATAATATTTTACGCAAAAAGATAATATTAAATTTAAACCGCAAATTTTGTCTGATATTAAATTGCACGCATATTTAATTAGAAGTTTAAATCAAACAGTCTCTGCAAATAATTTTGGTTTTAAACAAAATAGAATATCCTTTTAAATTAAATATTGAATTCAAAGAGAAAATATTTTTAAAATCGGTATTTTCCATTTTAATATTAAACTTGTAGACCTCGTTAAATTTTCCAAAAATATTTACTTTATTTTTAATGCATTCAAGTAAATATTTTATTTAATAATAGAATTGAAATAATTGAAGTATTCTGTTAAATTCTCATAAAATGAGACAAAAAATTGTTTTAATAAAATTTGTTGCAAGATTTTAATTATTTTCATAAATAATCAAATTTTTCACAGTGTTTCAATTATTTTTAATACAATTTTAAATAAATTCCTCGAAAAATGTAATTATTTTTAAAAGATTTATTAAAATTCTTCACAGGATTTCAATTATTTTTGTAATACAATTTTAAATGAATTTCTCGAAAAATGGAAAATAATTATTCTTAAAAGATTTATTACAATTTTTCGAAAGAATTCAATTATATTTTCAAAAAGTTTGATAACATTCTTTATAAGTGGTCAATTTTAAGAAATATAATCAATTATTCTATAAATTATTTTTTTTGTACTTAAATAATTGAATTCTTGTTGAAGTTTCTAATAAGAATTGATTAAAAAATTAATTTCAGTTAAAATTTTAGATTATTAAACATTATATGCGTTATTTCTATGATTGTTTAGAAACAGTTAAATTTCAAAAAGCTTTTAGACTAAAATTATTAAAAATTTTAATTCTTGTGGAAAAATAAATAAGTATTTATATATTTTTTGAACAAAAATTAAGTATGAATAATTTAATTTAGAAATTATTATGAAAAAAAGTATCTTGAAAAATTTTAATATTAGAATTTTTTAAATATAGGCCAAATTCTCGAAAAAATTAAAAATCTTCATTTAAATTTCCAATGAATTGGAAATTTTGTAAAATTTAATTGAGATAAATTTTATATTTTTGAAAAATTTATTTTTTGACTTTTAAAAATTATTTTTAAATAGAATCGAATTTTTGAATTATTCTAACTAAAAGTTTGGAAATTAATTTGAACATAAACATTTTAGAATTGAAGTTATAACCAGGATAAGAATAAAAGTGAATATTTTTTATGGAAATCAGGAAAATGTCAAGGAAATACAGAATCTAATTTTTTTTTAATTTTATGAATCCGTTAAACGAGTTTTTTAGTCATCAAATTTAATTTTTCGATTGCTACTTTTTTTTACTACTTTTTTCAGTCTTAAAGCTACTTTTTGCTATTTTTTTTTAAATTAATTACTGAGTGCGAAGTCTGTGATTGTTATAAATTTTAACAGTTTGGGGTGTTTAAAAAACCCCTTTATTCCTTGGTCTCTTGAATCTGAACAATTATTTTGTTTTTTTTAATTGTTAAAAAATCGTAAATTTTTTTTGAAATTTTTAAATTAAAGATCAAGAAATATTTAGAAAACCGAATAAAATATATTCAAATTTTTTGCTCGAAGAATTTAATATAGGGAAAAATAGTTCTAATGTAAAGAATGTTCGAATGAACGATAATGTTTTTATTACCTCTTTCAATGTGAATTCTATTTGCAAAATATTTTTTTTATAATTAAAAAAATAATTTTTTACTAAATAATTATTCAATTATAAAATTTTTTATTTCAGTCTAGTAGTTGTTCAAAATATTGGGACAAAAAAATATATTTCTTTCATTTGAATGTTAAAAACTTTATAGGAAAATAATAGGAAAAAGGGAAAATGAATTCGCATCGAGATAAATAAATATCTTGTTTATTTTTCATTTTGTCCGGATTTAAAAATTCAACACATCTTAGGACACTGTATCTTAACTTCATTCATTCACTCACACAAGATATACTAACATAGATAACTTAACATTATAATATCCTCCTGGGACTTAAAAAAAATGTCTTTTTCCTGAATTAAATTTCAATGATTTTCAACAATGTCGATATTTTTCTCTTGATCGTAGAATTCATATATCATTTTCAAACAAAAATTTTTCATTTCCTTTTTTCTTAGTACTTCAGGAGGAAAACGAGTCTTTGAGATTTCTCGAAAAATAATATTCATATAACAAAATTTTTTATATAGTTCATTTTTGGAATGTGTGCACAACGTCTTTGTGATTATAGAATAGAAAAAAATTCACTGTTTGTTTTTTTGCTAATTTATAGAAAAGAAAACTACGTTCAAAGTCGTTTGAAAAAGAAAAGTGTTTTTCGTTTACTTTTCTGTAGTTTTCCCTCTTTGTTCTCTTATTTTTCGGTAAAGTTCTTAAAATCGATTTTTTTATTATAAAATTCCTATTTATACTATTTGAATATAAATCCATATCCAAATAATATACAAAGTGAAAGGTAGAAACTTTAAAAAGAGAGGGGAGAAAATATCAAAAATATATAAAGGGGAAAAAATGCAATTTGCTGGTGGATTTTTTTTTTAATGAAACTGGAAAAAATGGAATCTATTTTAAAGTTTCTACGTGCCTCTCTATAGAGAGGAAAATGATAAAAAAAAATGTTATTACTCGAGTTTGATATTTAGTAAGGACATCACTGAGTGCTTTGAAATTGTGAAAGAGGTTTTTATTTTGCGACGATCGATTCGATCGTTTCTATGGCCTCGAAACTCTCTCATTTCTTCACGGAGAAACCATCGCCGGTCGGGTCCAGCAGCCAGGGATAGTTGTTGGGACACTCCATGCAGGTGAAAAGACGTAGGGTCTCGCCAGGTAATTCTCTAGTTGTTAGGGGGCATGCATTTGGTAGGGAGCAGTACGGTTGTCCCTTTTCATCACATGTTTCCTTCCATTCCTGGAAGTCTCGGATTGCAGATAATTCCGTTGGCGTCTGCATCCACTTGATTACCTACAAAAATAATATTTTATTTATAGCCAAATCTCTTTCTTCTCTTATGAATATATTATTCAAATTTTTATTTCTCATTTATTTATTATTAATTAATAATCAGGGTTGCTACGCAATCTAGAAAACCTGAGAATGTCAGGGAATTTTATAAACCTTGCAAAAAACCTCGAAAAGTCAGGGAATTTTGATCAAAATCCTGGAAAATTGTTGTTTTTAAAGTTGTTGTGTTTATTCTTGAAATCTAATTTCATTTAAATATTTCAATATTAATTCAATTTTGTAAGAATTGCGTTTACAATTTTCATAACTAGATGAACTTCAAAAGATTTGATTTAAAATTTTATAAAATTTCAATTTTAAATGAATTTAATTAGAAATATAAAAAAAAAATTAGAGTTAACAAAAATTTTAAAAACTAAAATTCTTCTGAAATTAGTTAAATTTTTTAATACGTATTTAATTGATTATTAAAAATAATGGATTTATAGAAGAATTTGAGTTAAAAACACTAAAACAAATAATTGAATTTTCAAGAAGTTACATAAATGATTTCAGAAATTCAATTATTTTCAAAACTAGTAAAATTCTTCTCAGAAATTCAATTATTTTCAAAAATTTTAATAAAATTCTTGGCAAAATTTTAATTATTTTCAAAAACTTTCCTCAATTCAATGATTTTTAATATCTACTACTTTAATAAAAATTCCTAAAAGAATTCAATTAGTTACAAAAAATTTTAATAAAATTCTACGCAAACATTTCATTATTTTCATAAATAATAAAAATTCCACAGAAATTCAATTATTTACAAATTACTTTTATGTATTATTCAATTATTTTCATAAATAATAAAACTCAATGTTGAATTTAAATTATTTTTAATACAACTTTAATGGAATTCCTCGAAAAAAGTTATTATTCTTAAAAATTGTATTAAAATTTATCAAAGAAATTTAATTATTTTAATAACCTTTGCTACAATTTATTTATTAGACTGAATCTATTATTTTCAATTCATTTTTAATTAAATTTCTTTAAAGAATAAAATTATTTTGAAAATTTTTAATGAAATTCTTTGCCTAACAATTCAATTTTTTTCAAAATAATTTTAATGAAATTCTTCGCAGAAATCCAATTATGTTTAAAAATTTACAAAAATTCTCGTCAAAATTTCAATTATCTTTATAAATAATAACATTTTTCTCCGAAATTCAATTATTTTTAATTTTTCTAAACTTTTAATTAAAAATTCTTGGCAGAATTTCAATTATTTTTAATACAATTTTCAACAAAATTTCTTGAAAAATGCAATGATTCTTAAAATTTTTATTAAAATTTGTCAAGAGAATTCAATTGTTTAAAAATTTGGCGATAAAACTCTTTATGAAAATTCAATTTTAAGAAACATTCAATTGTTTAATAAAATATTTATTTTTATAGTTAAATAATTGAATTCTTTCAGAATTTTCTAATAAATATTGATTTAAAAATGAATTTTAAATTAAAATCTTTGAAAATTTGAACTTTTCATGCTTTTAATTAAGAATTCTATAGAATTAATTTTTCTCAATAAGTTTAATGGAATTTTTTTAATTATATTTGAAGTTTTTAATTTCTAATGAATATTTAATTGAAAAATGTCAGAATAATCGAAATTTCGTAAAATTAAATTGGAAACAATAGAATTTGAAAATTCAAAGAATTTTTTCAAAAATTATTTTTAAAAAATTGACTTAAAGAAGAATTTTAGTTGAAAATTCTAGAAATAAATAATCGTAATGAGGAAAATAATGTTTGAAGAAGTTACAGTAACAAAGTAGATTGTAACAAAATAACTTGTCTATTATCAATTAAATGTTTACTTGTGACAAATAATTATTATTTGAATCGATGAAATCGTATTTTCTTCTAATACTGAAATTATCGGTTCAAATAATTTTTGATACGAAATTATTCGATTGAAATAAAAATTTTATTTGGTTCAAGTAAATATTTATTTGATAATATTCAAGTAATTGGTTATATTTGAATCAAGTAAATTTCTTTTTTAGTGAGTTATATTTTGGATTTTATTTATTTTTGTGATGCTTTTTAACTTTTGTAATATTTTGGATTTTATTATTATTCTTCGTCTACTGAATTTTGGATTTTGTATATTTTATTGTTTTTTTTCTAGAAATTTGGATTTTGTTTATTGTATTATTGTTTATTAGCAATATTATGAATTTTATTTATTCTATTGTTTATTAGCTATATTTGTAGTTCCATATGTTCGACTCTTTATTATTTATTAACTTTTAGATTTTTTGATTTTTCATCTACTGAAATTTGGATTCTGTATATTTTGCTGTTTATTTGCTAGAAATTTTAATTTTGTTTATTTTATTGTTGTTTATCAGCTATATTCTTATTTATATTGGTTCTACTGTTTATTATTTATTATTTTTTTGAGATTCTTTGTTTTGTTTATTTTAATTAGATTATTTGGTTTTTCTGGATTTTGCATATTTTCATTTTGCTTCCTCATAGAGGAATTTTATTGCTTATTTGCAATAATTTCTATTTTGTTTATTCTGTTGTTGTGGGTATGCTTTTTATTTGATTTTTTCTTCTCTTAATTTGCTTTTTTGGATTGATTATTATTTTTGGCATTATTAGTATTTTTGGTATTATAATTACATTTCGTTTTTTATCAGTTTTGCTATTATTATTAATTTCATATTAAGAGAAGTTAGTTATTTAATTATGTAATTATGCCTCTAAATTGAAAAATAATTTTATAAAATTTGATAATCATTTCTTTTCATTTGTTTGTTGTTCATTTGCTGTTGTTAGCTGTTCATCACTTTCTGGATTTTTTGGTCCATTGCTCATTTTTCATTTTATTCTACTTTTTGGTTCATTCATTTTTTAAATATATTTTTTGATAGTAATTCTCGTCAAGCAAATAGGTATCTTTCGTTTTTTCGTCTCTTTTCATAAAAGAAGTGAGACAAAACTATAAAAATTTAATTGTTCCAATTGTTTTAATTATTTTTTTGACGATATTCTCGACCGTTTAAAAATCGCTAGACGTGCAACATTATATTTTTCCAAATTCCTCAAAAAATTAAAATTCTAAATATTTTCCAATTAATGTTTCAAAGACAAATTGAATTTTCGGTACTAAACTGAAAAAAAAAATTTATTTGACTCAAATAACCGATTATTTGATCCAATTAAATATTTATAATTGATAATAGTCAAGTAATCGGTTATTTGAATCAAATAAATTTTCTTTTTCAGTGTATTTTCTATGATTTTGGGAGAGGGATATTTTTTGCGTCATTACCTGGACCATTGTGACGAAATAGACATCGTTTCTCGCCAACATTTCCTCAATGAATTTGATGAGTTCCTCCTTAAATTCTTTCTTGCTCTTGAGCCACGACGCATGGAAATTGAATCCCAATGGTGCTCGGTTCGAATTAATGTGACGGAATGCATTATGTCTAAGTAATCTTGCAAATTGTTCGCCAGTTTGAATGTTGGAGCATGAGTCCACCATGTGACAACCGGGGAGTGATTCGTCGAAGGTTGGATCGTCACGTCGATCCAATTCATTCATGACCATTTCCCACACCGGATGTGATCTCGAGGGACAGTTTCCGCTGTTTCCGTTACATTTATGCGGCATACGGAAGTAGAGTGTGTACGGCCAAATGGGCACACGACCAAGTGATGCCGTAATCGATGCATCGTAGACGAAAAGTTGATCAGCCATCATCTCAAATTGCTTATTGCCTCCAACTCTCAAGTAAGGCGCTCTTAATCCTGGAAAGAAAATTGAAAAATATTTAGAAAAATTGTAAAAAAAAGTTTCCTGCGTCAAAAATATTTCCTCGCTTAGAAAAACTTTTCTTTTGAAAGAAACAAATTTTGATTGAATCAATACTCTAAATTTGAATTAGTAAAAATGTTATTTACACACAGTTTTTCTGCGGATATCAAATTGAGACAAAAAACCGAATCAAAAGTGTTGCAACACTTTTGATTCGGTATTTTGTCTCAATTTGATATCCGCAGAAAAACTGCTATATTTTTTTTTTAAATATTTCAAAATAGTTTAAATATTTTAAATACTTCAAAATATTTTTAATATTTTTAATATTTCTAATATTTCTAATATTCGGCAAAAGAAAAAAAGCCAAGATAGTTTTATCAGAAAAAAAATAAAATTTTGTTATTCCACTAACCGACAATGGATCCATCGGTGATATTGGCGAAACGTTCAACAATTAATCGTGCACCGGCCATTTCAGCGAGCCAATCGTCATAAGTTCCCTGACTCCAATATTGTGGATCGTCTTTGTGTGTCAATGAGAAGACAGAAATTTCATGTCCCTTACGATGTAAATCTTGAACGGCTGAATAATTTGTATATTTGTGCGAAACAAAGAATGTGCCACGAATTTGACAGCCATTTGGATTTGCTCGTTGTCCATTGAATATCTCCTCATATAAGTCGATATTGTCGACATTTACTGCACCGTTAAATGTAATTGTTATCATTTGTGGTACTTGAGATGGTTCAATATTCCCTGGAATTCGTGTTCCGTCTGCTGAACAATAACAATCGGGCAGAATACATTGTGTTGGATCACAATCGGGCGCTCTATTTGGATCGGTCTCCACAGCTGAAAACAAGTTTTTTTTCTTTTAAATTGAAAATTTTCTTTTTTAAATTTCACCACTGAAAATTGAATTTGGGTTATTTGAATAAATACATTTTTCTTTTAAACGAACTGATGACTAATAATTTAATTATAATGACTTTGTTAATTAAATTAAAGTATAGAATTTAATTTAATTAAACTAGTACGATAAAAATTAAACTATAATTTAATTAAATTCATTTATAATTTAATTAGCATAAGCAAGTTTAAACTTTAAACTCCGTAAAATTGAAATTATTAAAAATGAGGGTTGCCACAGGTCAGGGAAATCAGGGAAAGTAGAATTTGTCAGGAAAGTAAGGGAAAAATCAGGGATTTTTATTAAAAGTACTGGAAAAAATTAAAAGTTTAGAATTTATAAGAAAATTCTGAATTTTTCTGTTTTTGCTTGTCTCATAAACTATGAAATTACCACGAATTCTGAAAAAACCTTAAAAGTTTTTTCTATTTCTGACAATAATTTATTTTAAATAACTTAATTTTATTGAAGAACTGCCGTAAAGTTATTACTTATAAATCATATTTAATGAAGTATTTTTTTGAAAAACTTTAATTTCAATTCGGTTGAAATTAGTTTCAATTTTAAAAATTTTAACGCAATTTTAATAAACATTAAAATTCTTTCCAGAAATTTAATTAAGTATTTTCAAAATTTTTTTTTAAATTCTCGTCAACATTTTAATTATCTTTATAAATAGCAAAATTCTTCGGCGAAATTCAATTATATTCAGAAATTTTTATAATATTCATTGTAAAATTCAATTATTTTCATAAATAACAATATTCATCACAAGTTTTCAATTATTTTCAAAATTAATAAAATTCTTCGCAGAAATTCAATTATTTTCAAAGAATCCAAAAAAAATTGTCGCCAACATTTCAATTATCTTTATAATTGAATAGCAAAATTCTTCGACAAAATTCAATTATTTTCAAAAATTTTTCTTATTTCAATGATTTTTAATATTCTACTATTTTAATAAAATTTCTTAAAAGAATTCATTTGTTGAAAAACAATTTTTACAAAGTTCTAAACAAATATTCAATTATCTTCAAAAATAATGAAAATTTCACAGGAATTCAATTATTAAAAATAGAATTTGCATACATTTTTTCGAAAAAAATAAATTGTTGTAAACTTTTTTTTTATAAAATTCTTCGCAATAATTCAATTATTTTTATAAATAATAAAAGTCATTGCAGAATTTCAATTATTTTTGATACAATTTCAATGAAATTCCTCAAAAAATGTAATTATTAATAAAAATTTTATTAAAATTCGTCGACAGAATTCAATTATTTAAAAATTTTTGTTGATAAAATTCTATATAAGAATTAAATTTTAAGAAACATTCATTTATTTATTCAATAAATTATTTACATTTGTATTTAAATAATTGAATTTTCTTAGAATTTGCTAATTAAAATTGATTTAAAAATTAATTTAAAAATTAATTTCATATAAAGTTTTAGATTTAACTTTGAAGAAGTTACTAATAATTGCAATTTTTAGAAATAATTGCATTTTGTAAAGGTTACAAATTAAAATCTTTGAAAATTGAATTTTTCATACTTTTAATTAAAAATTCCGTGGAACTAATTTTTTTCAAAAAACTTAATCGCAATTTTTTAATATTATTTCAAGTTTTTATTTTCTAATGTATATTTAATTGAAGAATTTTCGAATAATCGAAATTTCCTAAAACTGAATTGTAAACAAATGAATTTGAAAATTCTCAAAAAAACTTTATCATAAATTATTAGAATTTTATTTAAAAATTTTAGAAAATAATAATTAATTAAAATAATAATTATAATAATATTCTTTCAAGTTATTGAATTTCCAAAAGGTTTGAATTTGAAATTTTTGAAATCTTTTTTCCTATGAAAAAATAATAATAAAAATGAAATTAAGTTATTGATATTTTCGAATAATTTTACAATTAAAGAAATTCGTAAATAAGTGCGACAGAACATTTTTTTTAGTATCTAATAATTTTTAAAGTGAATCAGAATATTCTTTAGGGTCAGGGAAAAAGTCAAAATTTTGTTTGGAAATCAGGGGAAAGAAAATTAAATTAATTTATTAATAGTAATAGTAAATAAAATTAAACTACAATTTACTGCTCTCTAAATGCAAATCAGTTAAAAATAACTAAATTAATAAAATAATTTAAAAATAACTAATTAATTATACGATAAGTTAAAAACGACTAATTAGTTATTTTTAACTAATTCAGATTTAGAGAGATCAAAATTAACTTTAATTATCTGAAAAAATAGCTTTTAAAACTGCAAAAAATTTACCATGTTTTTATTAGCTTAGTTATTTTTTTAATTTTCTTTTATTTCTGCATATTTCAACTTTTGATTTCAACTTTTGTTGCATTGGTATTGTTACTACTTTGATTTCGCTTTTTTATTGTGTAAAAATTTCTATTTTTAAAATTGAAATTTCTATAAAGTTAGCTCAAAAATAATAGAGAGAATCAAATGGATTTTTCTTTTTTTTTTCTTTTTAGTATACAATAGAAAATTAAAAATACATACTGCAGGCGTTTTCGTCAGATTCGTCCTTGCAATCGGGTTTGCCATTACAGAATAATTCTTTATCGACACACTCGCCATTGCCGCAGGATAGTTTTCCATCGGGACAAACAGGCTCGTCTGTTTTGAATTTTGGTAGAACTTTTCTAGGCTCTGAAAAAAATTTTTAATTCCATTTACACTAAATTTCTTGTAATAATTTTTCAATTAAAATACTTATTTCTCTACTGCGTTTATCTTATTTCCTCTTTTAAATGTTTATTATTTTTTCGAATGAATTGTCAAAAAAAAAAAAAAAAATGCAGAAAGTTTGAAATTTAAATATTTAATTTATAAGTAAATAACTAATTTAAGTTAATTAGTTATTTATGTATAAATTAAACATTTTTTTGAGAATTTCGCTAATTAAAAATTTGATTCGAAATTAAGAGATAGAAACTAAAGAGCATAAATATTCCAAGTATAGAAATTTATTTTATTAAACATTAAAAGATGGAAATTAGATAGTTTCATGAAAATGTATCATTTCTTTCAGGAAAATAATTGTTAAATGTATTTTTCCGAAGATGTTTACTTTTTTTTTTGTAAAATAAATTAGAATTAGTATTGAATTGAAGTTAACTAAATATTATTTTATTATTATTGTTTATTTTGTTATTGTTCATTTTATTTATTATTTATTGTTTACTATTATTTATTTATTTTTTGTACTAAACTCAAATTAGTATATTTTTATAAATAATATAAAAATTAAATTATAAATTTATAAAACTAGATATCATACAGTGGACAAATTTTCGACGAAAATGAAAGAAAAGATACATTTTATGAACAAAAAGTTTTGAACGTTCAAATGAACGAAATATTTTTTGTTAAAAATATTTTCATAGATTATTGATTAAAATTCAAATTAAAAACTCAAATTTTACATTTAGAAACATTATAATTAATTTGCTTAATAGTGACGCAAAATTATGGTAATAAAAATTTAATTTGTAGAAGAAATAAATAAATTTCGTTTATTTGAACGTTCAAAACTTTAACCTCCTTACATTTTTTTTTTATTATCAAAATTGTGGATTACATTTTTAAACTAGATAACAAATTAACAAAGCTTTTTACACGAACATCATTGAGATATTCATTGATGTTCATTGCGTATTTATTTATACATATCCAAGGCCAGAATCCATGTAACTTTTGCCCATGCTAAAAAATTTTGGATCAATCTACTGTCTGTCAAAATTCTACAACAGTCTAAAAATCGTGTCGTCTGTAATTTTGAGTTTTATTTTTTGTTTCTTTTTTTTGTGACGCCTATTTTTTGGGTACATTATTTTCTCACGGCGTTGCACGCGTTTAGTGAACACAAATCATTCGCACTTCAATTTTTTTTACAAAGTAAACATTTAAAGCACTTGAAGAAAAATGTAACAAGAAACCAATAAAAACACTTTGCCTTTGACATTTCTTTTTTGAAAATGTGGAGAAGGAGTTAATTAGAAGCTGTACTTTCCTTTATATTATTCTTGATTAAATTACATAAGTTCACTTGCAAGTCTAAATAATTACGATTTGTAAATATTAATTGGCATTTAATTTTAATTAATTGAAATATTGTTTATTCAATAATTATTTCGCGTTTTTAATTTTTGATATTTATTAATTATTATTTTTTTCGAATATTAAATTTTTCATTCAGACACTTTTATTATTATTTATTTTAATTATTCAATTTTCAAGTTTAGAAACTAGAAATTGTAAATAATTTTTTGACAATTCGGGTTTTTTTTACGGTTAATTAAAAAAGGAAAATTTGCCAAAACTAGAAAAATCTTTTATTTTTCTTGAAAAATAATAATTAAAAGGTAGTGTTCGAATCGAGCTTGCATAAGTCAGGTAGTAGTTTTATTGGATTTTTTTTATCAAATTTTTCTTAGCGCCAATGGGCAGAAAAAGAAGAAATGAAACGAGGCAAATGTAAGTAGTAGAAGAGCGGATACGAGAGGCATATATAAATTTTTTAGATTTGCCAGGAGAAGTAAGACTGGTTTATATAGTCAGCTGCATTATTGCAATCCGAGGAGGTAGAAAATAGTAGACACAGACACAAACACAGACACACACACGTAAATATAACATATATATATATATATATATATATATATATATATATATATATGTATTGAATAAAGTATTTTGCGATAAATGAGAAAGCAATGTGACTGAATCAAAAACCTTGCCTTTTTGCTGCTTTGATTCAATCAATAAAAAAGCGTGTGAGAGAATTGTTACAAAACGACCCTTATAATTTAAATATATTTTATTTAGATTCGCTTTTTCTATAATCGATTTCCATTGATTGTGTTCTGTTTATTTTTATAAATATCTATTATGTGAATATTTTTTTTATATTTTAAAAAGAATATTTATTTATATAAATATTTTCTTATTGTTTTATTTTGCTTCCGTATAGAGGAAGTATTTATAAATATTTTTATATTTTATTAATTTTTTATTGTTATATTTTATCAATTTCTTATTTTTACATTTACACTTTATTTATTTTTTATTTTTACATTTTTATATTTTTATTTTTACATTTTTATATTTTAATATTTTCATATTCTTATATTTTTATTTTTTTTATATTTTTATGATTACTTCTTGAAAAGGATTTTAACTAAATGGACAAAGGATAACAAACAATTTTTATTCAACTGAATTATCTTCGAATGAATTATTTTCAACTAAATTATCTTCGAATGAATTACTTTCGACTGAATTGTCTTCAATTGAATTATCTTTTAATAGAATTTCTATATTTAACTGAACATTAACATATTCCAATGTTTTATTAAAAATTTTCATTTGAAGAAATTTTCTTTTTGTAGAATTATTATTAATTACATTGTCATTTATATAACGGAATTTTTATTTAATTAAATTTTTATATTTAGTCCAACTTTTATTGAACGGGATTTTTATTTAAATCGATTTTTGATTGGATAAATTTATAGGCTGGATAAAAATTCCATTTGATTTAAAAATTGTGTACGAAAATAAATATTTGGTTATATAAAAATTTTGCTAAATAAAAAATCTGTGAAATAAAAATTCTACTTAATTTTGTTGAAGAAAAATTTTCCAAAGCAAAAATTCTACAAGACGAAAGTTTTAATTCAATTATCTTGATAAATAACAAGATTCTTCACAAAGATTCAATGATTTTTAGGAATTTAAAAAAAATTCTTTGCAAAATTAAATTATTTTTATTAAATAAAACAAACAAAACATTCATTACAAGAATTCGATTATTTTCAAAAGTTATAAAATTCTTCGAAGAAATTCAATTATTCTTAAAAATTTTAACGAATATTTCGTCAAGAATTCAATTATCTTTATAAATAGAAATATTTTTCGCCAAAAATTGAATTATTTTCAAAAAATTTAAATAAAATTCTTTGAAAAATTTCAATTATTTGTACAAGTTTTTCGCATTTCAAATAATTTTCAATATTCATTATTTTCATAAAATTTAATTATTGAAAAAAGTTTTTGATAAAATTCTACGAAAACATTCAATTATTTTCATAAATAATAAAATTTCACTTAGGAATTCAATTATTTTCACGACAGAATTTTAAATATTTTGAAAACAATTTTAAATAAATTCTTCGAAAAATGCAGTTATTCTTAAACATTTTATTAAAACTTGACGAAAGATTTCAAATTTAAGAAACATTTAATTATTTAATAAAATAATAAAATTCGTTGCAATGATTAAAATATTTTCATAAATAACTTTTTTAATTCGTCTCAGGAAATCAATTATTTTCAAAAAAAATTTAAGTAATTCTGCAAAAGAATTCAATTATCTTGTTAAACAACAAAATTCTCCCCATAAAATCAATTATTTTAAGGAATTTTAATAAAATTCTTTTACAAAATTCAATTATTTTCATAAATATCAAAATCTATCACAAGAATTCAATTTTTTTGAAAAGTAAAAAATATTTTGCAGAAATTAAATTATTTAAATTTTTTTTTTAAATTCTCGTCAATAATTAAATTGTCTTTATAAATATAGGTAGCGAAATTCTTCTCAAGAATGAAATTATTTTCAAAAATTTTAATAAACTTCTTGTCAAAATTTCAATTATTTAAACAAAATTTAATAAAATTCTTCGTATGAATTCAATTATTTAAACAAAATTTAATAAAATCCGTTGCATGAATTCTCAATTATTTTCGTAAATTATTAATTAAATTCTCAGGAATTCAATTATTTTTAAAAATTTTAATAAAATTCTTCAAAAAGTTTTCAATTATTTTCAAAAATTGTTATAAAATTCAATTATTTATTTTTGTATTTAAATAATTGAATTCTCGTAGAATTTTTTAATAAAAATTTATTTAAAAATGAATTTCTGTTAAAATTTTAGATAATAATTTAATATTAAAAACATTATAGCATGGATTTTTAGAAATAATTGAATTTTAAAAAGGTTTCAAATTCAAATTTTTGGAAATCTAAATTTTTCGTTCTTTTAAATAATAAATGATTAAAAGAAATTTAAAAGATTTAAAAAAAATTTAAAAGAAAAGAAAAGAAAGAAAAAAAAAAAAAAAAAGAAAAAAAAAAAAGAAAAGAATTTAAAGAAATTTAAAAGATTTTAGTTAAAAATTCTAGAAAATAATAATTGATTTTAAATAATAAAAATAAATTCAAAGAAGTTAGGAATAACATAAAATAAAACAATTGTTTTCGAATAATTTTACAATTAAAGAAATTGGCAAATATTAGAACATTTCTTTGAGTTTCTAATCATTTTTAGAGTAAATCAGAATATTCGTTAGTGACAGGGAAAATTCAAAATTCTTTCTCGAAATCAGGGAAAAGTCAGAGAAAAACAAAATTAAATTTTTTGTGGTAACCCTGATTTTCCAAAGTAAAAATTCTAATAGACGAAAATTTTGCTAAAAAAAGATTTTCGAAAATAAAAATTCTACTTTATGAAAATTTTACTAAATGAAAATTCTGCTAAAGAAAAATTTGCGTAGTAAAAAATCTACTTAACCCGTTGCCTGTTTCCGACCCACGGGTGGGTCGTGAGAAAGTATGGCCATAACTGTTTCCGACCCACCCGTGG